TTTGCTTCTGAGAGTAGGTGTATCATGGGTAGTTTATGAAGAATCACGTATTCCCCCATCCCCTCCACCCCCTTGTCCCCAAAAAGCCCTGTCCGAGTACCCGTGGGTAACCATGAACTCCTCAAGGCTGTGGGCACAATACCTTAGGCCTGCAGATCTGAAGAAAAGGCTCCCAGAAGGCCCCTCTGGAGAAGGTATCTTCCGGGGCTGCAGGGCCCACTCTCCCTGGCCCAGCCAGGCTCAGGACCCTATCTCCCTTTTTTTGCTTTACTCTTTCCCAAGATCTTCTCCCAAATTGATCCCTTCTGGGATAGAGGGATGACTCTGATACCAGGGGCTGCCTTCAACCATTTCATGGAAGTTCAGGATGAACCACGGTCTCCTGAAGGATTTGAACTGACAGAAGTGGGAGTGACTCCCTTCCTTAAGAACTTAAGACTGACAGGGTCTTTGTATTTTTTCTTAGTAGTACTTTGCCGTTGCTTCAGAGAACAGCCAGCTAAGTCCTCTAAGGCAGGCTGGAAACAGCTTTTCCAACCAAGGTAAAAGGTGCAAGACAGATCACTTCATTCGTTCATTCACTCATTCATTCCATGTCCCCTGTCTGCCAGGCCTACTGAGTGCCCTGGGCTAGGCTAGAGGCGTGGTGTGGTGACTTTGAAGTGTTCTGTGTTTTTATCCAGGTAGAATCAGGAGCTAAGGATCCACCAGGGTTCATCTTGGAGATCAAAAGGAATTTTTCAACAGGACCCCACCACCACACCCCCGCGGGCATGGGAGGAGGGTACTGAGGGTGAGCAGCTGAGGGAAGGATCCCTGGTGGCGCCAGCTCCACCTGCTGATGTGGTAGGGAGGTGACAGGGATGTTTGTGTGATTGTGAATGTCATTAGGAACAGTGTCCCTGGCCTTCCCGGGTTGGCGCCCAGCAGCCTGGCATCCACCAGGAGCTGGGCCCAGGCAGCACCGTAGAGAGACAGACACCTCTTCTACTGTATTTCTGTCACTTGTTTGTTCTTCCGAAGACCTCAGCTTACCGTGTAGAATGAACAGCGGTCTATAGAATCTTCCCGTAATGCCCACGTGGCTTTCAGGTGTCTCAGCAATTAGGGAGCCCTGCCTTCTGTCCTTCAGCTCTCTGTCTTGGGAGGAATAAGGGCAGTTAACATAAACCGAGTGCCTCCTGTATACCAGGCCCTGGCCTGTGCGGTTTAAGTCATTACGTCCCCGAAGAACCTGATGAGGGAAGAGGCGCTATTATTATCCCCATCTCCCGGGTGAGGAAACTGAAGCTGGGAGAGGTTGTCACACCTTCACAGTGGCCCCGAGAGCGGACCCTGGCAACAGGACCCTAGAGCCAGCTCTCCTCACGTCCACAGCGTTCCTTGGCGAGCTGCTGGGATGGTGGTGTCTGCTTGAGCTGCGCCCTGGGGAGGGGCTCCTGACTGATGACACCAGCAGGGCTGCAGGCCTGGGCCCTCATGGAGTGTGCCGGGCCGTCGGTTTTCTTAAGAGTCCTTCCCTTCTCCAGACTTGCAGTGCTGGAAGTAAACCCACCTCCTTGGGCAGCTGAACCCTCAGTGGCTGGGGAGCAGTCATATGCCTTCTGTTCTCCCTGCAAACCTCTCCCTCCAAGGCTGATCTCACCTCGTCCCACCTCATAGCAAGGATTAGCCTGTCTCTTGCTGTTCCACTGGAAAGGTGGATGGTCCTGCTGTTGGAGACATTTTGGATCAAGCTTCAATGACAAGCTGGCTAGGACTGGTAGAGCTTACCATGGAAGGAAGTTGTCCTAAACTCCAGCCCTGTCTCCCGGGCTAGCAAGTTCTAGTCACAGCCCTACAGGCCAGGGTACCCCACTGTCGCCCTTTTCCCAGTGGGGAAGCCTCTGGCCTCATATTTGCCAAATGACCCATGACTCAGTGGGCAAATATGAGGCCAGAGGTGGTGGTTTTCAGGACCCTTTGTTGTTGACATTTGGGTGGATGTTGGCTTGTGGCCACGTTACAAAACAGCAGAAATTGTGGTTACTTGGAGGAGCCCAGGCACCTCACATAGTTGTTTCCAAATCTGCAAGGATGACCTTTGTTCTGAAATGGTGAGTGATGTGCTTCAGGGAGGAGAGGGAAGGGGTGGGAGACAGGCCTTCCAAGTGAGATCTGCCCCAAATCTGTGTTCACGGAGAGTGCTCATCCTGGCCTATGCCCATCTGAGAACTCAGCATGTACTGGGGCTCTAAACTCAGGTGCATTCAGGTGAAAATACGGCTATTTTTATCGCCAAGCCAAGCCTGACCAAGGAGGAAGAGAACAACCTGGGACATTTTGCATAAATGTATCTGCTGGAACTGTTAATCAGTAACTCAGGAACCTGGTACGGGCAGAAGCCAGTTGTGGTCTGTATACCCAAGATAAAAGCACGCTTCATGTTCAGGAAAAATGATACGGTGGTGTTTGCCTTATTAGAAAATGCAGCAAGTACTATTTGAATGAGATTCCCGAGGCTGGTGCTCAGTGTGAGTCTGACTAACATTGCTGATAGCAGGGCGGCCTGTGCCTGTCTGTGCCTGGACGCTAATTGGTAGAACCCAGCGGCTCCCTCCTTGGTGGTCTCTGCCCAGTTGGGCCCATTCCAAAGAGCCAGCTCTCCTCAAAGGAACCTTTCCATTTTTTTCGGTAACCTAATGCCTGAAAACCAGAAAAATGATTTTCCTGGTTTCCATGTAGCATCCAAAATCATGGCAGTCATTGTATTATATTCAGGAGCCAGTGACATTGGGAGTTTGTGGTTCTGGGTCCATTTCTGTTGTCCTTCTGCCTTTTCTCTCCTTACTTTGTTTCTATGATTCCCTGGTTCCAGGCGTCTTTCCTGCTGCTCAGGAGGGTGTGAACTAACAGATTGTGTGTTAATCACCATCACCACCACTCCCTCCTTGGAGCAGGGGGAGTCAGGCTATGGTGGTATCTGTCAGGAGAAGCCACGGCTGTAGCACAGCCTGGGTCCGTCTAAAATGATGCCTGTTTCCGGGTGAGCCACTCACTGGCCAGCATTTCTTTCAATTTTCTTGTAAGGGAAGAAAACTCCTTAGCTCATCCTGTCCTGATTCTGAAACCTAGTTGTTGATTATTGGTTCCCACTGTGTGGCGTGTCACCGTGCATGTCCTCAAACTAGCTCGTTGGCTCTTCTTTCCAAGGTGGTGTGTGAGCTGCCTGAGTCAGGGATGGTGTCTTTTATCCCTGGACTCCCCAGTAGGTTTGGCAGTGTCAGAAAAATGAGAATTGAGCATGTGAGGTGGGAGGGAGATGGAGCAAGGTGCCTGCAGCAGCAGCCTCTCTCCCCTCCTGCACATCCTGTCTGTGGGGTCTGGCGGGAGCAGCCTGGAAGGGCCTTCCGGCAGGTGGGCCCCTGGGCAGGCAGAGCGACTTGCTTTCTTTGATGACTACAACGTGCCTCCAGCTAGTTGGCGTCCAGGCCGGCCCCGGGGGATGGTAGGATCGACCATACCACCAAACCAGAACTGAAACAGCTGCTGGAACAGAACGTCCCCAAGCCACTAGCATACAGAGCTTTGCCTGCTGTCAAGTGAAGCTCCTGTATCTCTCCGCCCAGGGGTGTTGAGATGCCTGGAATCCTCATGAATGATCAGAGGATGAAAGAATGCAGGGTTTATCATTTTAACCATTTTTAAGTGTGCACGTTAGTGGCATTAAGTCCATTCACATTGTTGTGCAACCATCGCCACCATCCATCTCTGCTTCTTTCATCATCCCAAACTGAAACTCTGTACCCAGTAAAGAAAATCCCCTCTCCAGCCCCTGGCTGCCACCATTCTACTTTCTGTCTCCATGAATTTGACTGCTCTAGGAACCTCATATAACAGGAGTCATGTGGTATTTGTCCTTCCGTGACTGGCTCGTTTCACTTAGCACAATGTCTTTAAGGCCCACCCATGTTGTAGCATTGTCGAAATTTCTTTCCTTTTTCAGGCTGAAAAACATTCCATTGTATGTCTAGACCATGTTTTGTTTATCCTCTTAGCCATCGATGGACACTTGAGTGGCTTCTTTTTTTTTTGGCTATTGTGACTATGCTGCTGTGAACATGGATGTGCAAATACCTGCTCGAGCCCCTGCTTTCAGTTCTTTTGGGTAAGAGTTTTACAGCACAGGAGCAAGATGTCTTTGAAGGTCAGTTTCTGATGACTCACCCTTTGCCTGTGAGGGCTAGACTCACCGGCCAAAAGGTAGCTTTACTCACCGTCTAATTTTAGACTCCAGCCTAACCACCACTGGTCACTCATAACATCAGACTTCATTTTGATATTTGATCAGCCTTCACAGCATGTTACAATCCCAGTTTTACGTGTTACCTGTCGCTGATTACACTTCGCTGGCCACTTCCTTGTGATTGTGGGGCACCCTTGTCACTTGGCGGTGGGCACTGGCGCTAGGCAGTGCACCTGATTACAGCTGGCTTGCTCCAGGGGTGCAGCCTTTTTCTGACTTTGCCCTCCTAACCCAAGTTGGACTGGTCTTTTGGCCTTGTCCCCAGACCTGGCTCCATATTGGGACCTGAGCCGACTGACAACTGAGGCCATTGAGGTCACTTGTCTTCTACTCATGGCAGCTTTGTGCGGGCCCGAAGGGGTGGTGTTATCCACCAGGCCTGCTGGTTCTCGTCATGTTTTTGTTTCATCCAGTTCTTACACAACATTTAGCATTGTTGGAATTACATGTCATCTTTTGCCCCTTGGAAAGTAAAATACTCTCCTGAAATACCTTGGCATTTGGAGTTGCCACAAGAGCTGGTTTTGCCTGCACCAGCTTCGAACCAGCCCTCAGGCCCTCGGTAATTTGTGGTGTGTACACGCCTGGGGGATAGTGGGCTTTTAGGGGATTCAACTCATCTGTCCTGTCAAGGATTGCTCTACCTCTAGAGGAGACTTCTTTCATCCAATGTCCTTCTGTATTTGCCAAAGCAGTTAGGAAGTGGAGAAGGGAGCACAGAGAAGACCTGTACGCTGCATTTAAGGACCTCACAGTGTAGTTAAGGCATTTAGAAACCTTAAGGATAAACCAGCCATTTCTGAGACAGTCCTGTTTTCTTATCTATTCCAATGACACAAGTAAAAAGAAAACAGAGCTGGCCAAGAAGGGAGAGCTTCCTTCTCTTACCCCCAGGCTCTGTCCTGGGCGCTCTGCCTCCAGTACAATAGTAGCCAACCCTTTTCATCTAAAGACTTCCCTGGGGCCCATCTCTGTCTCCGCTGCACTCTTCTTAAGGACTCCTTGGTTTTCGGATGATTGTAACGATAGTGTGATAGCAGCAGTTGAGTCAGAAAGATCCCAGATGGTCTGGGCCAGGTCAGGCAGGCCTCAGAGGAAACGCATGGAGGAGATGTGGGGACTGCCCGGTGGGCAGTGCAGAGGAGGAGGGGGACGTGCTCGTCCGCTTCTCTCTTCTGCCCTTCACAGTGCTGACTGTTTGTTGCCTTCTCCTGCTCTGGCATGTGGCTGCAGGGGTGGGAGGAGAGAGGATCAAGTGATACCTTGATGCCAATGCATTTTCATCTCTTTGGGACCTCACCAGGCACACTGTCAACCCCGCTTTCTACAGGTGGACGCTGAGGGTGGGAGAGGTGAAGGGCAGAGTCCAGGCCCTGGGCAACTGCACTGGAGCCTAAACCAAGGAAGGAAGGAAGGTGCACAGATGAGTCTGAGCCGGGGGTGAGCTGAGAGAAGGCATTAGTATGTGCTGGGTATCGGGGCTACCATTTTAGTCCCGTGATGGTTGCCTTATTTGGTTTGGCTTTAGAGGCTAGAGGATGAAGGGAGGAATTTGCCAGGCAGCTGATGAGATGCTTTTCAGAGGATCTGGAAGATCTGTGTGGGGTGTGGAAGAAGAGCTTTTCCCGTAGTAACCCAACCTCAAGCAAGGTCCCTGGCTACTCAATCAGGCAGCTATTCCTGGAGCTGATGTGGAGGAGACAGGGCACTTCTGCCCTGGGGCAGGTGAGCCGTTCCTCTGGCAGGGAAAGAAAGAAGAGGTTGTTCAGGGGTGCACGGCCAGATCCTGGAGGCGGGGTGGCGTCTATGCCCAGATGCCGCTGTCTGTGCGGGATGGCTGAGGACTGGCAGATGGTCTAGGAGGTCCTGGGAAACCCACTGCGGGGCTTCCTGCTGGGGTCCAGTGCCACAGAGCCCAGGGTGGCCAGGCCTTCAGTGGTGGGATGGGCTGTCACTAGGCACAGCCCCAGCATTCAGGGTGCAGGTCTGTCTGTGGTCCTTGGGTTACAACCTGTTTGTTCCCATGCTAACCAGGTCCCTCCTCTGCCCCAGACTCAGTATACTAGCTCCCCTTCCACTGTCCCTGGAAGTTGCTCTGTCTTGGGTCCTTCCCGAGCTTCCTAGAGTCGTACTTCCTGTGTCTCCCCAACTCTGAACCTAGGCTCTGATGCCATGTGGTTGGTTGAGGCCAAAGGAACAGTGACAGGGCGTGTGTGTGTCTGTGTGTGTGTTGGGAAGAGGGCAGGGCCTCGAGTTGCTGACAGTTCTACCTCCAGCCTCCTTGGGTCCTCCTGCTACAGGGCTACTGGAGATGGGGGCCTGGCTCTGTTCATTTGCCGCCTTCCCTCACAGTGGCCTTGGGCACACCCCGCTCTTGCAGCACCTGTCACTCCACTGCACAGTGCAGGGCTGGCTGATCTTGCAGGTCCTTTGCTCCCATAACAGCCTAATTTGATTCTCCCTCTCAGCCTCCTGTTATTTCTGAGGCTTCTCCCCAGAGTCTAGGGGACTCTTCCCACCCCTTCCCTCTACCAGGTTTATGCCAGCTCTTTACTCAGTCCTGGGAGGGGTCTGCCTGAGGGTCAGTCATTTGAATAACAGTAATAACATCAATGAGCATGTATTGAATACTTGACAGTGTTCCAGGTTACTCCTATTTTTTCAGGGGAGGAAGCTGAGGCTCAAGAGAGGTTGTCACCTGCCCAGGTTACATGGCCAATGAGTAGATGAACCTATATTTAAATCTAATTTGATATGTCTTTTTAAAATCTCTATTCTGAAAGTCTAATTGTGATGCTTCCCACAGAATTGGAACAGAGTGTCTTTGGGAATTGTGACCTGATTGGGGTGACGGTGTCAGGTAGGGGGAAGGGGTCTTCCCTGCTTCTCTCTGAACATCCCATCTCCACAATCTGATGAGAACCCACTGCCTACCAACACCCCTCCCCTGTCGAAACTCAAAACTCGGTTCCTAGGAAGAGATGTTGGAGCAGTTGGGGCCACTTTGGCACGGAGAGGGCTGGGGAGATGGAGACTTGTTTTTCTGAGAACACAGCTGGTGCCCCCTGCAGGCTGTTGTTTTGCGCGTTGCGGGAGTGGGCAGAGAGCACGGCGGGGTCTGGGCAGGCAGTCTGCACGGGGAGGGATGTGCTGCTGCACACCTTGGCCACCGCAGCCCACAGCGTCGCAGAGTTTCAAGGCAGCTGTCTCTCCGCTTCGTGAATACAGCCTTAAGTGGGCTCCTGCCTCCTCATAGCAGAGCTGTCCTCACCCAGCTTTCCACAGAGACCAGAGTCCTGCAGCCACCAAATACAGGCCTCCATGTTTGAAGCTCAGAGGAATTTCATCCCATAGAATACTTCCCTTTGGATTATCAGTCAGCCAAGTACTAGGCTTCACCCTGTGCATGAAGTTGGGTTTCTTGACTGATGAAGTGGAGGCACTGGCCCCACTCACATAGAGCACTGGACGGTCTCCTGAAGGTGCTGTGTTTCGAGGCTGACCGAGCCAGGGCTTGGCTCTGCCATACTGAGAAGCAGCCTTTCCTGTGGAGGCAGGTAGACCTGATCTGGGTCTTGAAAAACAAGGGAATTTGGCTGAGGTCCCCAAGGCCCTTACAGGTATTTCTAAGTAGCGAGGTTGCTGAACGTGGCTGGATTCTGACCCATGGGGTCCCTGCAGTCTGACTGTGGACAGTCTGGGTGGCGAAGGAGAAAGTGCTGTGGGGAGGAGGAGCTTGGGTGTTTTTGAGAGGGGCAGGAAGCGCAGCACATGGGAGTGTGCTGCGTGGGGAACTCAGACACTGACTGACATGTCAGTGCTACCTTCTAGTTGATTCTGGACAGACCAGGTAGCCTTCTCTCCTGCAGCTACCTCCTGTGTAAAATAGGACCAGTGTGTTCTCTGCCTGTGAGTGTGCAGGGATATCCAGACTTCAGTCTGGTGACAATGAAGAAAAGGGTGATGAGGGCTGAGTTGGCAGCAGCAGGCAGGTGCCTTGGCTGAGGTGGCATCCGTCCCACGTCCCAAGGTTCCAGGGAGGGCCCCGGAGGCAGAGCAGAAATCTGGAGGGGTTAGTTGGAGGAAGAAGGTGAGGATGAGCCCAGTGTTGAAAGCCAAGGGGTGGGGTGGGCACTGCTTTCAGGATCAGGTAAGTAAGCACGGACAGACGTTGCTAACAGGCTGGAGGGGTGGCTAGCAGCAGCCTGGGGCCTCACGGAGAGGAGGGGCTCAGCTGAGGATGTGAAAGAAGAAAGAGCATGGTGTTTGCCATCACAGGATGAGCAGAGGGGAGCCAGCGGGGCTGGTGAGGGACTGAAGGTGGCCCCTGGAAGACAGCCCATGGCCTCTGCAGGGGAGTGCAAAGTCTGGATTGACTGTATCTGCACCTCAGTGCCCTCTCTGTGCAACACTAGGCCCGGATGGGCTCCAGACTACCTGCCCAAACCCAAAGCAAGAGGAAGAGAAGAAGCTGGGTTGGTTTCAGAAATGCCACCAGCTGGTGTCACTAGAGAGAGGAAGGAGATGCCAAAGGAACCCTGGCAGTGCGCTGTTGGGGACCTGGCTGGGGATGAAGGGCTGTGTTTCTGGCTCCTGGGGCTCAGCTTTAGGAGTTATACCAGTGCCAGGCACTCTCTGGTCTCCCAGCTCCTTGGAGGGAGGATGGTGATTTGATCCATCTGCAGCTCGATGGATTTGGTCAGTGGGAGCCCCAGCCTGCACCCAGGGCTGAAAGGCCTGAGGGGAGTCAGAGCTGCATCAAAGGCAGATCTGATAGGGGAGACTGCAGGTAGGTCACAGGGCCAGGCCAGGCTATAAAGGAGCGAGATAACTAGGAGCACAGGTTAGAGGAAGTAGGGCTGAGGGGGTCTGTAGGTAACAGTGACGTTGGGGAAGGCAGTCCAGGACTGTGGCCAGTGCCACCGGGGAGCCCAGATCAGTCAATGCCAGCTGCTCCCAGAGGCTAGAAGTTCAGGACATGCTAAAACCGATAGGCCCTCCCTCTCTCCCTCCTGCCTACAAGACCTTGGCAGTGACAACAGCGGAACAGCTTTGAGTGAGGCTTTGGAATCAGAAAGAAAGGCTGGATTTGAGAAAAAATGTAAAATGCAAAACAGAGTAAGAGCCCTACCTCTCCCACACGCTGCCCGTAAGTTTCTTGGATTTATTCTTTTAGAAAGTTGTGTGAATATGTGTTTGTGAAAGTGTATCCTTTTAATTGTACAGATAAAACAAAGCACGGCTATATACCTTGCTTTGATCCCTTGCTTAATTTATTGGCAATGTGGAAAAATAGCCAATTTTTTTAAAGACTATTTAATATTCTGTCCTATGGCATGCATTAATTTAGCTAATCAGTCTCCGCTTGACAGACGTTGAGGCTGTTGCTAGTTGGGGGTTATTTTAATACAGCAGCAGTCACACTGTACACATATCTTTGAATAGTTGAAAAATTATTTCTGTAGAAAAAATCCTAGGTATAGATTTTCTGGGTCAAAGTTGTATGCACCACCACCACCACCCTGCATTCTCTTCCAAAGGGTTTCTAGTAATTCACACTCCTGCAAACTGAGAGTTACAAATGATAACAGTGCTGTTGTGAGGATTAAATGAGATATGTGCAAAGCTTTGGGCCAGTGTCTGCCACATCAGGCTATAGGGTGGGCCTCACTGCAAACTGGATCACTTTGGGCCAGTCAAGTGCTGGGCTGGGTTTCATAGTCAGCTTGGGGAAGGGGAGGTGGCAGGATGGTCTGACAGCTGCTGAGCAGATGTCACCTTCATTCACACATTAAGGAAAGATTCATTGAGTACCTGACGTGTGCGACACTGGAGCAGGGATGGAGCCGGGAACCAGCTGGGCCTGGCTCCCCTCCCGGAGCCCAGTCTGGAGAGGGAGGGAGATGGAAGACAAGTCTCTACAGATAGTGCTAAGTGCCAAGCAGCATGGGACACTGCCGCTCAGAGTCCCCTCTGACCAGGTGTCTCTCTCCCCGCCCCACCCCAGTGTACGTGTTGGAACGGGAAAGGAAGACGGACAGCGGGTGTCAGGCCGCCCTGGCCGCGTGCTGGGCTGCTCTCTGCTGCTGTTGCCTCCTGGACAACCTGGACTGAGCAGCCAGACCCAAGTGCGCCCTGCAGGCCTGCCACCCTGTGTTACTGGAATAAACAAGTAGTGCCGCACAGTTAACATTTTGTCTTTCTTTACAAAATACCTAACCTACAGACATTAAAATTTTAGCACCTATGATAGGCGTGAAATGGTATCTCAGTATTTGATTTTACCTCCCCTGGTTGCTAGTTACCTTGAACATAAATGTATTAAGTATTTGACTTTCTTTTACAAATCCTGTGAATTGCTTGTTACCTATTCTTAGCCCATTTAAAAAAAATTGGTTTGTCTTACTGATTTGTAGGGAGCTTTAAAAAAAATACTTCCACACACTAATGTTTGTCACGTTTATAGGCTTGCAAATATCTTCTTCCTATCTGACTGCCTCTTAACCTTTTTATAGTACATTTTCTAGTATGGAAGTTTTTAAAGGTCATGTTTATCAATCTTTTTCTCATGCTTTGCATGTACTAATTTTTGAGAAATCATTTTCTATTCCAAAATCACAAAGATAAGCCTGTATTTTCTTCTAACATTTTTTCACATAGTTTTCAGCCACCTAAATTTGTTTTTGACTGTGGTGTAGGACAGGGTTCTGGTTTTCTTTTTCCATTTGGATAGCTGCAGCACCAGTTGCTGATTTAGGTCATCCTTTACCCACTGATTTGAAGAGATTTGTCATATACCAAGTTCCCACATACGAATGGGCCAGAATCAGGAGTCTGGTATGATAAGCATCTTCCCTGTGTCCAGGACGTACCCCTTTTTCTTCAGAATTTTCTTGGATATTCCTGGCCTTTTACTCTTTAATCTGGATTTTAGGATAAGTGTGTCAGTTTCTATGGAAAACCATTGTGTTTGGCTTTAACTGGAACAGCATGTAATTTACAGAGTAATTGGGGGAAGAGTTGACATATTTACAGTGTTGGCTCCTTATCATGAACATGTTATCTCTTCTTTTGTCTCCTTTTATATCCTTAGATAAAATCATATAATCTTCACATAGCTTTTACATATCCTTTGTTGGTTTTTAAAATTGGATGTTTTCTCTGGTATAGTTTTAATGCTACTGTAAGTGGATTTTTAAAAATTGAACTATAGTTGATTTACAGTGTGTATTGTGACTCTTTTTAAAAAATATTACATTTTTTGGTGAAAAGAATCTCTTCACTCCAGTCGGGTCACAGACTAGATTTTACCATAGTTTTGTTTTGGGACACTTTAAATTGTGGGAGGAGCAGCTCTTCAGTCTGCTCTCAGGGAACCACTCTCAGTCTACAAGGACCAGCATTCATTCAGTAGATGCCGAATAGCTCCAGTGTATTACGTGATGGACCATACAGAACAGACCCCATCCCTGTCTCCCTGGGGCTTAAAACTCTAGGGAGCGACAAGACATTAATTAACTAATCCCACAGGTGTTACTGACATTCTGCTTTCCTATGAAGAGATATGTATTGCTATGAAAACATATAAAAAGGGGAAAGTCTGCACATTCTAGGAGGAGTACTGAAAGGCAAAAAGGTGGTAGGAAAAGCAGGTGTAAAGGCCCAATGGCAAGAGAGAACATGGCTCACTTGAGAAACTAGAAGAGGAAACTGGCGTGGCAGAGAACAATGGGACATTGGGAACAGATTAGAAACAGGCAGGAGCAAGACAGGGGGCTCATAGCCCCACCTAGGGATTCTGGGTTTTGTCCTCTGAGCAGTGGGAAACGAGGAAGGATTTTAAGCAAAGAAATGACATTATCAAATCTGCATTTTGGGAGATCGCGTCCATGTAGAGAGAATGCTTTGAGAGGGACACAGATTCACGTGATGATGGAGAGACATGAATGTACTTGGCCTATTTGGAAGTAAAAACAGGACTTGGTGATGGACTGGATAGGAGGATTGCAGAAGAAAGGGAGAGTAGGCTTAAGATTGGTAGATGTTTTCTCATTTGGGATTTTTATATAAAATGTGAGACTTAATGGTTAAGATTTTTGGTTTTTTGTGTCCCAATTTTTCAGGATTAGTTTGAAAAGACTATCCTTTCTCCATGGAATTGCTTTTGCATATTTGTCAAACATCAGTTGGCCACCTTTATGTGGGTCATTTACTCTCCTCTCTATTCTGTTCCTTTGATCTGTCAGTCCCGCCGCCAGTACTATAGGGGTCTTGACTACTGTAGCTTTGTATTAAATCTTAAAGTAGTGTGATTTCTCAAACTATTCCTTTTCTAAATTGTTTTATTCTAGTTCTCTTGCCTTTCCATAAATTTTAGAATGAGTTTATCTACAAAAAATACTGCTGAGATTATGATTAGAATTGCATCCAATCTATAGCTCCTTAAGACCTAGTGTGTATTTAAATGGCATGACTTGCTCCCTCTTATGTGTCATAACCTCTAATGAAGCGAGGCGGCCTGCTCCTTCATTTGCTGTGTTGTGATTATTCCCACTTATGATCGATTGTGCTGGTGCCTTTTGAAGTTTGGGAGCAAATGAGGTGTGTCTATATCAAATTGGGTAGGAACAGCCATGAACATTTGACTACTATGTTGAGGGGCTTGGGGGCCAGGTCATGGTCTGGGGCAAGTCAGCCACCATCATTTACAACCTTGTTCTCCGTGTGTGTCTCTCCAGAGCAGGTTGTGAGCAAGACCTGCCAGCCATCAGGGGAAATCTCCCTGCCTCGTGGTTGCCACAGGGCATAGAACTGTTGTGTACTGGACGTGATCCGATTTTTTCTCTAGATTTTTCTTAATTTCTTCTGCCTGGCGTAGCGGCGATACTCGTATTTGTTTCTCCAAAAGTTGCATTAGAAATATATTCACGACACATCGTGACATAATGAGTCGCTCCCTGCCCTCTGCTGTAGTAGCGTCACCCATGACATCGGGGCTTTTCATGCTCTTCCCTTTGATCCCGCCACTCACGCCCGTGGTTCCCCTGGTCTGTGTGAGGCAATGACACAGCCAGACGTGGAGCAGAACAGTGGGGTGCTGAGGGGGTCACTGCTTACGTTCTCACCCTGTATACCTCTTCCATTATTGTTAATCTCCTCCCCAGTCTCTTGGCTGACTTAGAATAAAAGAAAAACTGCTTTCTACTCTCCAAAGTAAATGAGAAACACAGCTGTTCTAAGGTGTCTCTTTGACTCAGGTATGTGAGTGAAGTCATCTGCCGTGACCCTGGCAAACTATTTGAACGTCCCTTTTGGTTGCTTATTTTCATCTCTTACCAGTAAAAGTAGCAGCTCTTAGGTTTCACCTCAGATTTACAAAAAGTTTCTCATTTTATTGAACTCATCTGGAGGGAGCACCCCACCCTCAAGCTGTCTGGCCCTCATGGCATTTCTGCCGGGGCTTGCTGTGGCCGCGTCGTACGGACGTAGGGAACACACTCAGGCCTGTACCTCTGTGGACAGAAATTGTGGAATGTCTATCAAAGTATGAAAGATAATATTTGAAAAGTACTGTATGGTCTATTTAAGAAACCTCACGATGAAACTTTTCTGTTTGTAAATTGAGATTTCTTTTTCTGACCCATCTTAACGATTTTCGCTTTTGTCCTCATCACGTTTTCCCATGTCATCTAAGGAAGTAGCTTCACAACTGTCTTTCCGTCCTATAGAGGAGGGTGCAGAGGCTCCAGGAGGTCAAGCAACCTACTCAGAGTCACCCAGCTCTGGCAGAACAGAGCCAGGAACTCTCGGCTCAAGTCTGCAGGGCCTCATCTGGATCTCTTCTTTGGTCGGTAATAGTGAAGGGGGGAAAATGCCCTTATTTATTTTTCCTGTGCTCTGTAACTGGGGTGAGCTGCACTCTCCCGCTTGTGGAATAGCATGGTCTTTACAGGAAAGCCCCGAGCACTTCTGCATCTCTGGCCGGGTGCACCCAAACTGGCAGCTTCCAGCACTGCTTTGTGAGGAAAGTGATGGCCCTCGTGCATTTTCTCTTGCGCCCTGTTTCTTGCCTTCTGTGGCAGCTCCACCCGGGAGGTGGGGGGAGGATAGTGTTTTCACGTTAATATTAAATGCTGTCAGCTCTCCCTGATTCCTGCCCTTTTCCTTGAAGGAAAAGCCGACTGGAGGGAGCTGCCTCTGTAAAGGCACTCTAGTGTTCTCAGGGAATTCAGTCCCTTTCCTGAGATGTAGTGAACAAGGGAAGGCCATCCGTTCTACTGGCATTTTTGAGGCTTTGAGTTTTGAACTGATCACATTTGATTGGATTTAAGAACACTTCACTCTTCAGTTTCTAGTCTTTTAAATGTACAGCATCACTTCTAACTCGACCAAGTCTCTTTCACGTTATGTTTCATACCGTGTTGTTCTGCGGACCTTGGTGTCCACACTATCTTAATGATAGCCATAGGCTCATCACATCCAGGCGAATGCTCCCAGGTATGAGGGTTTCCTTACTCCTGTTACCTAAGAAACAGCTGAAGTTGGTTGTGTTCGGCCTTCCTAACCCCCCACACTCACACACAGCTCCTTGCCTCTCCCTTGGGTTGTCTCCCCCTTTTCTCTCTGAGCAGCTCTGCTGTGCTAGTCTCTCCACTTTCTTCATGTGATGGTTTGCGGCTACCCATCTGAATACCAGTCTGCATATGGATTGACTGGAGAAGGCCCTCCCTGCACAAAGACCTGGAATAAGATTTTGGGTGATATTTTTTTCTGTAGGATGTCATCACATTGTGGTTCCTATTGATGGAACCTCCTTCACTCCGTGCCAGGCCCTGGGCCAAACACTTTACACTGTCTTAAGTTTTTCTCACAAAACATAGACTCTTAAGCACTACTTCCCCCCTCCATTCTGCACCTGAGAAGACTGGGGCACAGGGAAGGCGGGATATAAAGCAACCAGGGGGTAGGATGCCCAAGGAAAGTCTGAAGTAGATTTCTTGAAGGAGTCAGTCTGGCTCCCCACCCCCGCACTGCCCCCAGGAGGTGCCTTGTGGGTGCTTACACTCCCGCTCGCCTGCCTGGAGACTGCTGAGTGGCTGCCGGACCAGGTCTGTTCTGAGGTAACGGGCCCTGACTCTCTTTGGGACACACTCTGGAGCAGGGTGAGGGCTTGATCTTGCCCAACTACACAGACCTGGGATTTCAGGGAGAACAGGATGAAAGAGAGGAGAGGCCTTTCACCCCTCCACGCGCAGCCGCATTCAGGTCACTTGCAGCCAGGGCTGCTGATTTGAAATGAGCCTAACCTGGATGTGCAGCAAGCACTGGGCCAGGACCTACCTTTAATTCACTATGTGACTTCACTTACCACCTCCCTTTTTTGAGCTAACCATCCTTTTTTTTTAGGAAAAAAGTGACTGGCCGTATAACCCAAGACAATTTCATTTGCATTTCTAGCATCTAAGACATTCAGTTGTGCCACTATATACAACCAACCCTGTCTCAGTGGCCTGAGTGGGTTTAGCCCAAGGATAGGGCCCCAGGAGGTGGCGGCAGTAGAGTTCTACTTATTAGACTGGTAAATGTCCAGATGTACTTAGTATATTTTTTTCCATAAATAACAAAAATAATTATTATCAGGTCTACTATTTATAGGACTGATTGATTGGGGTCGACAGGGCTAAAGTATTAGCTGGCCTGTGAGGGAGTCTGGGGCCCACCACCCACCTTTGGATGTGTCCTGACAGTGATGGCGGGCTGACTGATCATTCGGGTGGCAGGCAGTAGACACGTGGGGTGGGGGTGGAGAACTGGTTGGGAGTGGCCAGCTCCCAGACTGTTCTACCTTAAAAATATCTTGGGACACTGAAGCAAGGAGAGGGACAGAGACTTGGGAGACAAAGCTGAAGCCGCACGAGGAGCAGGGTAGGCACAGAGGTCCAGGAGGCCTGGGGAAGGTCTAAGCTTAGCAGACAAGGCAGCTGCTGCTGCAGAGCGCAGGCCAAGGCTGTGCCAGTGCTGGCAGAAAGGGAAAGTGGAACGTATTCCTCACCTCTCCTGCTCTGAACCTTCAGACTCCAATGAAAACTACACACCTGGATCACCTCTACTATTTCAGGCCACCCTTCATCCCCTCATTATCCCCCCTCAGCCTATTTACCTGTTGCTCATGGCCTGCAGGGCAGGGGGGACAGTGGCACTGCCTTTAGGACATCCTTTCTCAGCAGCGCAGCCCCTAGTGCTGAGTAGTGTATGATCCCACTGCCAGTGCACACGCACATCTGAGGAAGGCTGAGGTGCACCCTCGGCAAGCTGGGTGTTCTTTCTGCCCCTGCACTGAAGGGGCAGGATCCACCCTAGGCTGTCTTGAGATTTTACTCACTCCTCAGGTGCTTAAAGATTTTCCCCTCCCGTCCTACCTCCTAGTCTGAGCAGTGGTAGGGCCGTTCAGCATCCCCTGATACCTTCTGGAAGGCTGGCCTTCGGTTGGTTTAGGTCCTGGTGTAGAAGGTGGGTTGTGAGGGCATCTGAGCACAGACTGTAGGCCCCCTGCCTTCAGCAAAGCTGTCATTTCTGCTGGAGGCATTTCTGGGGAGGTGCCGTAGCCGTGGTCGTCTTAGCAATGGAGGAGCAGCCGCCCAGCAGTGGTCTGGGCTACAAGAGGCAGAAGAGGCTCTGTTACCACCTCAAAGCACTTGCTTAATCATTTAAGATGTCTGAGCTGAGCAAGTCAAGGTTTCAGATTCCAGGTGGGGCCGATCGTGGAACTCGAGCCTTTTTAGCTGAGGTCTCTTTTCACATTCCTGCCCCGGCCCCTGTGTGGCCTGGAGCTCCAGTCGCCCACTGCCTGCACACAACCAGTTTCTGAGTAGCCCACGGTGAATGGCACTCCTAGGGGTGTACATATGATAGTCCTAGAACTTGGAACTGCTGGTTGGTGTGGCTGGTGGCCCTGCAGAAGAGGGTTTGGTGGACAGGCACCCGGGCCCGGGGGGCTGCAAGCCTCCAAGCATCTTGCATTTATCTCCTCTGCTTCCAGCAGCAAGGCAAGGAGGTGGGAGCCTCTGCCAGAAGCTGCTTAGCCTCCCAAAGTTGCTCTGCACCCAGGAGTACCCAGGCCCCTGAGTCACAAGTGTACGCTCGTACACCAGTCCTTGCCACCTTCCCCTATCACCACACTGCATATATTCAAACATGGCGAGCCGTATTCATGGTGGGGGCGGGGGGAGATGGTTATTTCAGAACTGTGCCATAAAAGCACGAAGTCGGTCGCGTAGGCTCTGGGACCTGGGCATCTATGTTCCGGGTGGGTGGGTCCGTCCTTCCTCCCTTCATCCTTTCCTTCCCCCACCCCATTCATTCTCACCATCTCTCCCCTTCCAGTGTATGTCGTGGAAGACCAAAGAAGGGATGACCTGGGCACATCTACCTGCCTCACAGCCTGCTGGACTGCGCTCTGTTGCTGCTGCCTCTGGGACATGCTCACCTGACGAGCCCAGCTCTCCACTTCTGCCACCACCACCGACAGCTGTGCCTGCCCCATCTCTGATTGTTGAAATCAATGACTAGCTCTGCACAGACACTTCTACCTTCAACACAGTGGGATTCTAGATTAGCAGGGGTTGCTGCTGTTTAATTCAGTGACTTGGTCTTTTTAATGTTCAAAATCCATTTCTTACTGGCCTTTCACAGATGTGCTAAATGACTTTAATTTTTTTGGCCAAAGGCTTAGTTATGAAGTATATATTTTTAATTTTAGAATTATACATTCAAGGTAGTGGCATGGTGTAACATACCACTGAATGATTTCTCTGCTAACACCCTGTATGTTTCAATAAATTTGTCTAAATGTCAGCTGTCTGAATTATTCCAGATAGTCTCTGCCCTGGGTTTCTCAACTAGTGGCCACTGTCCAGTATATGATGATCCAATTTACCTTTTCATTCTAGCTGCTACTAGGAAGGCAGGGTCCAAGGCTACACTTCCTTCCGCCAGGTCAGGGGGCCCTCACCAAGGAGCCATACTGGCTTCTACCCGGAGCTTAGGAAAGGGCATCTTGGTAACTGTGGCTGCCCCAGGGTCTGCTCTGGAAGGAGAAGCCAGTCAGGGCCAGACTTTCTTTTCCTGCTCTGCCCTCCCAGAACCCAACCCCGCACTCCTATGTGTGGAACACACCCCAGAAGAGAGAAGAGCTGTCTGTCATAACACCAACTCATCAGCGAGGCCACTCATCTCAGCTTTGACCACAGGGTGGCGCCGAGCTGCCACAGCAGTGAGTCCGATTTTCCTTCTTCAGCTGACAGCTCCTTGCCTACCCTCTGCCTGCCCACCTTTCCACCCAGTCAGCCAAGTGCTGATACATATTTAACTACCAGCTCTCTGTTTAAAAACAAAAAGCCATGATTTTGTAGCATCACCTGATTTCTGTGCAGTAAATGGTCGGTCCCACGGAGCTGATTTCAAGCTACCAATATATCCTCCTGAACATGGACTTGGGAAGAGAAGTGCGGGAGCACACTGTTACGTAGGTTTCCACCATCAGATACAACAGACTGTTAACCTCAAAAACATAGATAATGGCCAGATTTAGTAATTAGGATAAGTTCTGAATATTTATTAACCTCGTTTTTAATATAATTTAATTGTAAATTTAAAAACTCAATTTTTAATAATGCCTATTAACAACTGGCTTGCAACAAAATCCCTGAAAATTGCCTTGGCTCTCCCGAGCCAGTACAACCCAGCTCCAGCACACTACTGCCCCTATGCCTCCTGGAGGCCTCAGGATTATAGTGTCCACCTTATGACACTGGCCAGAGGGAGACCGTCTTAGAAGTGCTGCTGGTCTAGTACCTAATTTTCTTTTACAATGTTTGGGAATCTTTAGGCAGACTGCCACTGAGGAACCACCATTTTATTCACTTACATTCAGCTATGCCCTGGTCTCCTTTTTTCCTTACCTGCATACTACATGGAGGCTCAGAAATTGAGGGATTTACTAAAAGGAACAGAGGCAGAAAAAAGAAGAGGGGAAGGCTTCAGTGCAGAAGGAGCAGGACCACAACCCTGGGGAGGAGGAGGGAGGAACTGAGGTGTAGACAGCCACTGCCTCTCTGGCCCTGTGTTCTCATCTGTCAGCTCAAGAAAAGCAGACTTAGCGGAGTGGGACAGATGTCTTTTATTGGTCTGACCAGCATGACTAGTAGTAGGCCCAGGCAGAGCTTCCCCTCTCCTGGCTCCCATCTCCCCTCTCGTGGGATTTCATGACTCACCACCAGGGAAGAGGGGTGGCAGGCAGAGCCAGAATAAATACAGAGATGGGATATGAGAGGGGCTCCAGAGTGATGCAG